AGGGAGAAGCAGGCTTCCCGCTGAGCAGGGAGCCCGATGTGGGGCTCGATCCCAGGACCCTGGGATCATGACCTGAGCTGAAGGCAGATGCTTAAAGACTGAGCCACCCGGGTGCCCTTGGGGCTTTAGCATTTTTTAAAAGAAGGCCCCGGGGTGTTTCTAATGTGTATCCAGTGATGAGGACCACTGCTCTAAATTCTGTCAATAGGGAATACAAGAGGAATAGCAGGTTTCTGGAGGAAATAATGATCCCTTTTCACTAATATGCAGATACATAATGACTTCTGCTTTCAAGCTCAAAATCCCCAGCATTATGAGGCAATCTGCCTAGGCCCAGGTAGAGGCCAATTGAGTTTCTTCTTGGGGCTGGGTTCCTGTTGGCTTTTCCCATGACCACAGTGAGTACTGATTGGGGCGGTGTTTATTATAGTCTACTCTACCTATGTTAATATAAATCTCCTGCCTTTTCAAAATCTTTATTGGGGTGACTGAGACTCTTTCATGAACTTTTTCTCTAACAAGTAGTAGCTCAAGTCTGTTCTTGGTTGGCATAATTTACAATCCATATTTATATCCTATTTAATAATTATTTGAGTCCCTATTATAAGTTAGGAACTGGGGAAGTGACAGACCTGGAGTTCAACAATATTCATTGCATTGAGAGACTGGATATGAATGTTGGGTTAAAAAATTAGCATGTCTCAAGAGAATGAGAAGACAAGTCACAGAGTGGGAGAATATATTTGCAGAAGACACATCTGATAAAGGACTGTTATTCAAAATATACAAAGAACACTTAAAACTCAACAATAGGAAAACAAACTACCCAATTAAAAAATGGGCCAGGTTTCTGCTCCACCCCCCCACAAGTGCCCCTCCAGCTGCACCAAGCTCTCTCAGAGCTCCTGGCTCCTGCTAAGCTAGTGCCCCTGATGTCTCTCTCCAGCCATCATCATGATCATCTACCAGGACCTCATCAGCCATGATGAGATGTTCTCCAACATCTACAAAATCCGGGAGATCAGGCATGGGCTGTGCCTGGGGGTGGAGGGGATGATGGTCAGTAGGACAGAGGGGAACACTGATGACTCGCTCATTGGTGGAAATGCCACTGGTGAAGGCTGGGAGGGTGGAGGTACCAAAATCACAGTCATTACTGATGTTGATATTGTCCTGAACCATCACTTGCAGGAAACTTCACAAAAGAAGTCTAAAGAGGTACATCAAAGATTGCCTGAAATCAATCAAAGGCAAACATGAAAAACAGAGACCAGGAAGAGTAAATCCTTTTATGACAGGGGCTACAGAACAAATCAAGCACATCCTTGCTAGTTTCAAAAATGACCAGTTCTTTATTGACCAGATGGATTCTGGACTGGAATTTGCTGGACTACTGTGAGGATGGATATATGATTTTCTTTAAGGATGGTTCAGAAATGGAAAAATGTTAATGAATTTGGCTATTACTTTAGATGTATCACCTGTTGTCATAACTGGCTACTGCTCTTCATCCACATAGCACCAGGACTTAGACAAATGGGACTGATGTCATCTTGAGCTCCTCATTTATTTTGATGTGATTTATTTGGAGCAGAGACATTGTTTTTAAGAAAAAAACAAAACAAAACAGGGGCCCCTGGGTGGCTCAGTCATTAAGCGTCTGCCTTCGGCTCAGGTCAGGATCCCAGGGTCCTGGGATCGAGCCCCGCATCGGG